GTGGGAAGATAACAATAAGTAGAAATGTACACTTCAATGAGAACAATATACCGGTCCTGAGAAAAAATATTACTACAATTTCCATTACTGAGGAAAAAAATCAAAACGAAGAAAGTCCAGAAATACCAGGAGACAACCAAGATATTTCTGAATCAAGTTTTGAAAGTGTAGAGACACAAGAAGATCCCAATGACAGAACGTATGAGCCTTCGCAGATAATTTCGGAAGATGATACAAGAAATATTACACTGCGTCCTAGAAGGAACAGGAATGAAGAAGCAAATTTCGTTGAATTTGATATACCTACTACATATGAAGAAGCTATGAATTGTAGAGATGGCAGTAAATGGAAAGAAGCTATAAAGGCAGAAATACAGTCGCTAGAAGAAAATAAAACGTGGAAGTTAGTAGATAAGAAACATGAGAGAACAGTGTCCTCAAAGTGGGTATTTTGTATAAAAAGAGATACAGAGGGCAATATAGTAAGATACAAAACACGTCTTAAAACGTAAACGTATGTATTGTGTTAAATATGTAGAAAGCTCAAACCAGCTCGCACATTTTTTTAACAGAAGCTGTGTCTTTCATAGTTATTTATTTATGTTGAATGGAAAGTGAGTTGTTTTGAAGCTTTTATAGTTAAGTAGGTTATTATTCTAAAATTTTATAATACTTAATATCTTTGCGTGGTATTCTTAAAAAGGTAAATAGTTCGTTTGAATACCGCCAGGGGTTTGTTTTTGGTTCGTTGTTCGGTTGTTCTCGCCATGACTGTTTGATTTGTAATACGTTTTATTTTGCTTGAAATATACGTGAGAAATCTTACTCAAGAGTTTATTTTAACCACACCTTAACANTAAATTTCAATAAATAAATAAGACGTGTCTAAAAAGCGCCATCTATCTTCATTGGTTAAAATCTACAGCGCTGGACAAAAACTACTGTTTTTGACGTTCGTAATATTCATGCGGGGGAAGCCGTGAAACACCATCTATCAACATGATATCAAACAACAGATTTTACGAACTAAGGGGTAAAACGAGGTCCACGCGTACGAAGTCGCAGGCGGCCCGCTAGTTCCGTAATAAAGACAACTAGCAGGTTCCCGAGTTAAAAAGGTACAGTTGCACATACTCATTAGTAGCACGAAAAGTGACGAAAGCATAAGCAGATCATCATCATCATCATCATCATAATTTCAGCCATAGGACGTCCACTGCTGAAGTGCTGAACATAGGCCTCCCCCAATGCTTTCCATGTTGATCGATTGGCAGCGGTCTGCGTCCAGCGCTTCCCTGCTACCTTTACGATGTCGTCGGTCCACCTTGTAGGTGGACGTCCCACGCTGCGTTTTCCGGTACGCGGCCTCCATTCCAGAACCTTTCTTCCCCATCGGCCGTCAGTTCTGCGTACTATGTGCCCTGCCCATTGCCACTTCAGCTTGCTAACCCGTCGGGCTATGTCAGCGACTTTGGTTCGTTTATGGATCTCCTCATTTCTGATTCGATCTCGCAAAGAAACACCAAGCATAGCCCTCTCCATAGCACGCTGTGCAACTTTGAGCTTCTGTATAAGCAGATAGGTCCCCTTAATTGATATTTATTGTCCGTGGTATATATATTTTCTTAAAGGTTACTATATAATCTTTAGTTTGTCTCCTGTTATCCGCTTTGCACTGAAGGGAAGTCGAACCTTAACTTCTAACTCCTCCTATGATATAATAATTATTAGGTACTGACGGGATTGCTACCATGTATCTTAATTTCGAGTTTCCGAATGGTAGCAATCCCGTCAATAGGTAATAATAATAATTATGTTACTGACCATGAAAGTTTAAAACTCCCCCTATAAGATCTTCTGATTATTCAAAAAAAAAAATTAAAAAATGTTTATTTGCCAAAAACACAGTAATACAGAGTGACAATATTAAAATAGGATCATGTGTTTAGCCTGCTCGCTGACTTCGCGTATTCTTCTGATTCGTTGCGGATCCAATGACAGTTTTAACTTTTCCCTGGGACAAACTTGATCTTCACTGGTTGGGTTTTTATTGGAGATACTGGCTACACAGGAGTTGCAGGGCTGGGGACGACATGTGGAAATAGTCCCATTAGCATGAAAGCATGCTACTATTACTGCACTAGCAGTACTACAGTAGTATGTTTGTCAAAACATCTTACTAATATATTACTTACTTACTGCTTTCCGCCCGCGGCTTCGCCCGCGTGGAATTTTGTCTGTCACAGAAAAACTTTATCTCGCGCGTCCCTGTTTCAAAAACCGGGATAAAAACTATCTTATTTCCTTTCCCGGGACTCAAACTATCTCTATGCCAAATTTCATCAAAATCGGTTCAGTGTTTTTGGCGTGAAAGAGAGACAGACAGACAGATAAACAGACAGAGTTACTTTCGCATTTATAATATTAGTATAGATTCTTGGTTATAAACAATAATACTGTAAAGTTTCATCAAAATCCGTTCAGAAGTTTTTGCGTGAAAGAGTAACAAACATCCAGACATCCAAATTTTCGCATTTATAATATCAGTAGGAATAGGATTCTGTGCTAATAGTATAAAGCTGAAGAGTTTCTTTGTTTGCTTAAACGTGTTTATCTCAAGAACTAGTTGCCCGATTTGATAAATTATTTTTGTTTTGGGAGCCCATTTGTCGAGGAAGGCTTTAGAGCGCTTGTAGACGTCCGTTTTTTCACCGGACGACGGACCGTCAAAAAATGGATATCCTTTGTTTGCTGTCAATTTTCTCGCCGGACCTATGTCCGATGCATGTGCACACGTTCATTAAAACCATACGCCACCGCTAAATCCGGTGAAAAAATCGGGCCGTTGTCCGGTCAAAAAACGGACGTCTACAAGCGCTCTTTAGTCTTATTTTGAGGCTTTAGCCAATAGGGGCGGAGCAGTAACTACGCGTGATAATTGTTTGATAATATTTCCGGTTATTGCAATATTTTTCTTTACAGCTCCGCCCCTAGTGGCTGTAGGGTAATGTTATATAGCCTAAAGCCATCTTAGATGGGCTATCCAACACAAAAATATTTTTTCAAATCGGACCTGTATTTCCTGAGATTAGCGCGTTCAAGCAAACAATACAAAACTTACAAGTTTAGGTAACATAGATTATCATCATCATCATTAAGCCATAGATATTCCAATGAACATAGGCCTGCTCAAAGTGAGTCATCTGTCCACCTGTGTTTCATTAATTATCACTTTTATCAATGAATGCCCCCAAAATTACTATGAGCAAAGTCCTAAATACATATTTATCACTTACCCAAATGATCTGTGATAAAAATAGTAAGTTATTACTGAGTAGGCTCACTCTGTACCGACGACACCGATAACATCGTAAAGTAGCAGGAAGGCGCAGGCCGCTACCAACCGGGCAACATGGAAAGCATTGGGGGAGGCAGTGGCGGGGCAAGACCTAAATTTGATGTGGGCAGATTTCGCGAGGCCTTGTTCTGTGGCGACCTGAAGACGGATTTTATAAAAAGAAAAAAAAACGGGTCTATTTGTATTGTACACCTTTATCTCCGCCATTAGATTATTATTTGGCTCGCCTACGCACACAGCACGACCTGCCCGCACCACGGTCGGACGCCGAATGCCCCCACCGCTGACNAAATATTTTTTTTTAACTACATACATTGTTTAGCTATCAAGAATTTATATTTAATAGTCAATGTTTGCATTTATTGTCATCTCCACCTTGTATACGTTTTTTCAAAATTTTTGATGCGCGAGGCCCCTTGTTCCGCGAGGCCGTAGGCGGTGGCCCACGTCGCCTACGCCTTACGCCGCCACTGGGGGGAGGCCTATGCTCAGCAGTGGACGTCCTGTGGCTGAGATGATGATGATGATGAGGCTCAATCTGTACGCCGCAATTGCTTCTCTCTAAGTAAACGTTTTATATTTTTCTCTATGGATTAATCATACCAATAAATCAGAAAACTACATCCTGGTTTTAAGTACCATAATCACCAAAGTTAAGTACCAAAAGAGTTTTGATTGAAATTCAATTGTGTTGGATAGCCCATTTATCGAGGAAGGCTTTAGGCTATATAACATCACCCTACAGCCAATAGGGGCGGAGCAGTAGAGAAAAATGTTGCAAGAACGGGACATATATAATTCAAACTATTTTCACGCGTATGAAGTCGCGGGAACAGCTAGTATATCCTAATGAACCTGGCAAAATCACAAAGTGATTTTCAATTTGTACGACCCATCTGGGTGAACCCATGACCTGCGGTTCAAGAGGGCCAAACTCTCGAGTGACCTCAGAAAGCCCGGAGAAGTTTGAGGGAATTTCCTTGACTACATTCAGGTTGAAGGGTCGAAGATCTTGTGTTTAGTTTTAGTGTCCAACAGAGTATAATATAACCGTCTCACTCTTTCCGTGGATGTCGTAAGAGGCGACGAATGGAGATTACCAGGCCTCCCTAGTCCGTCTGGCAAGCGTGGAGTGGGACAAACTTGACCTTCGCTGGTTGGGTTTTTATTGACGGTCAAGCTGTAGATCCTGGCTACACTGGAGTTACAGCGGTGGGAACGAGAGGTGGGAATATTAGTCCCGTAGCGCGGAGTGTGTAGGCCAAATACTTCAAAAGCCTCAGGTAATTTAGAGAGAGTCATATTGCACCGCATTGGACACCTTAAGAGTTTTAAACCGACTGTAAGTTTTAGATGACACCAGCTATTTATGAGTTGTAAAATCTGAAGGGTTATGCATTTTAATACATTTTCCTGACGCAAACATTTTTTATGGGTCCATTAGAACCTTTGTCAATCAAAATTCAATCAACTGCTCTAATAAAATTAAATGCATACCTACTTAATTTACTTCATTAAATTTTACTTGACAGATTAATTATTACTGAGTCTTCTTTAGCTAGGTTAGCTATCTATTGATCAAGTCTGGGCAAAAAATATTTAAAAGTTGAATAATCATTATTTCTAGCATTTGCGTAAACGACATCCAAGATGATAGTAGGTTTAATTTTCCTAGCGTTTACAGTGGCTGTCCAGGGACAAACTACGGATGTAGAGACATGTAAGTGGATCTTCTTCTTTTCAGCCAAATGACGTCCACTGCTGGACAAAGGCCTCCCCCAAGGTTTTCCACAATGAACGGTCCTGCGCTGCCCGCATCCAGGCTCTTCCCGCGACCTTTACCAGATCGTCGGTCCAAACGGTCGGCCTAGTAGGAGGCCTGACCACGGAATGAGGAGATCCGCAGGAGAACCAAAGTAACCGACATAGCTCGCAGAATTGCTAAAATCAAGTGGCAGTGGGCGGGGCACATAGCTCGTAGAGACGATGGCCGTTGGGGCAGGAAAGTTCTCGAGTGGCGACCACGGGCTGGAAGACGTAGCGTGGGCAGGCCTCCTACTAGGTAAGTGGATATCAAATGTTTTTGGTTGTTTCAGACAAATGACGTCCACTGCTGGACAAAGGCTTTCCACAACGGCCGGTCTTGCGCTGCCCGCATCCAGGCATTTCCCGCGACATTCACCAGATCATCGATCCACCTAGTGGGCCTGCCCACACTACGTCTTCCAGCCCTTGGTCGCCACTCGAGAACTTTTCTGTCCCAGAGGCCATCTTGCTCTGCATGATTTTAGCAATTCTGCGGGCTATGTCGGTTACTTGAAGCGTGGCGTGCATCCACCGTATTTGGACAGACCTCATAAGGCGCTGGATGCAGGCCGCTACCAATCAGTCAATTTGGAAATGATTAGGGGAGGCCTATGTTCAGCAGTGGACTCGTGCTTTTTGATTATTGATACTTATAATATTTCTGATTACAGGCCAGCTTATCACAGACGCAGAGCTGCCCATCAATGCCTATATCGAGGGCTGCACCACCCCACCATGCTTGCTGCCGCAATTGCAAGATGCGGTCATCAATATTGTCTTTCAAGCACGTAAGTAACAAAATTTATTAGTTCACAGATGGAGTTATACAATTACGGGTCTATTCCCACCTCTCATTTCCGCTGCAACTCCTGTGTAGCCAGGATGTACTTGCCTCCAATAAAAACCCAACCCGTGAAGGTCAAGTTTGTCCTGGGGGAAAGGTAACTGCCAGACTGCCATTGGACCCGCAACGAAATTAATCAAAAGAACATAGTACCTATTAGGAGGAGTTCGAAGTTAAGGAGTATAATATTAAGTAGTTGATAATCGACACTTCCGCAACACTTTCTTTTCTTAATTTATGTGAAACCAGCGGCCGCGACTTCGTACGCGTGGATCCCGTTTTACCCCTTTAGGGGTGGAGTTTCGTAAAATCCTTTCTTAACGGATGCCTACGTCATAACATCTACCTACCTGCATGCCAAATTTCAGCCCGATCCGTCCCGTGGTTTGGGCTGTGCGTTGATAGATCACTATGTCAGTCAGTCAGTCAGTCACCTTTGAGTTATATAATTGAATTAGATGAAATGGAATTGAAAATGAGCGTTACAAAGATTTCCACTTGCAACAAGGACTCAGTCAATTCAATTCAATTCAATTCTTTATTGCTATTCCACACGTTTGTTCGTCTTGTACTGTATGCTAGAAGGCAATAATTATTTTTTTCTCATTATTAAAATTTGTTTTAATAATTTTAGCCCGCACTATGACGTCCATGCGTACCTTGGCGGCAGCGATTGTCCATCATCATCAATCATCATCAACAGCCCTTTACAGTCCACTGCTGGACTATGAGCCTCCTCCACTATAGTGGAGGGTTTTGCCATAATCTCCACGCTTGGCAGGCGGGTTGGAGAGCGCAGTTTAAAAGATTGATGTTTTTCAGAGAGCGCTGCTGCCCATTCTCTGTTTGATGTGTAGTCCCTAAGTCGCCTCTTACGACACCCGCGGGAAGAGTAGGGGTTGGTGACAAATGTATTCTACTCTGCCGTCACCACACGGCTTACGGCGGATCATATCGATGCCTGCGATAACCTATCCCCTGGGCGACAACGCTTTGACCTGCAACTTCTTGACCAACTCCTTCTGCCCCGTGCTGGCCGGCGAGGTCCTGCAGTACACCTTGAAGATGTTCATTGAATCGTCATTCCTGGTGGTAAGTATTTAAAATTTTAGGCCTATGCACCCTAGCCTAAGCTTCATGACGCTACTGGTGCCCTATCCCCTGGATGACAAAAGCTTTGACCGGCAACTCTTTTTTTTTACGTCGGGAAATGCTTTGCGCATACCCACTGGTCGATGGGGACGGCCAGTGGCTTGTGTGGGACTCTCCCCGCCTGCTTACTAAAGGCGGGGCCTACCCACTAAAACCCGACGGTGTCCACCAGAGCCCAAAAAAACGGTGCCGCGAGTTATTGTCCTAGTTAGACATTCGTCCGCAGTTGACCTGCAACTTCTTGACCAACTCCTACTGCCCCGTGCTGGCAGGCGAGGTCCTGCAGTACACCTTAAAATTTTTTATCGCATTGAGCTTCTTTGTGGTCAGTATCGATAGCTTTTTAAACATTAGAGAAAAAAATAAAATCACCTTGGAAATTTCACTCTGTCCGTTCTAGTCCCAAATCAGTTAACGCTGGTCCTCGATAACGGATATTGAAAAAAACTTAATACGACGTAGTTCGGAAATCGATACGTGAACAACTAGGTACACCTATCAGCCGACTATTGTATAGATCGTTCATCCACGAAGATGCGCCCCACCACTCTTCCGCTAATGTTCGAGTGTTATCGATACACGCTAAATTATCCATGAGTGAGCACACTACAATAATGGCACTCGAATTGCTCGGATCAAACTCCCCGCACCCCGCGCTTCCCTTGACCAAAAATTCGTGAGGCGCGTCTTCGTGGATGAAACGAATTATAACTGACTACTCTTTTTTCTTGGCTTTCGTGGTTTGCATTTAGTCACAACGGTAACTGGCTACTTTGTATCAATCATCATCATCATTTCAGCCACTGGATTTCCTCTGATGAGCATAATTCCTCACCCAATGAGACCTTTTGTACTGACTTACTTTGTGTCAGTGTGTCATCGTCATCATTTCAGCCACAGGATGTACACCTCTGAACATAGGTCTCCCCCAATGACTTCCAGATTGACCGTTTGGCAGGGGCCTGCATCCAGCGATTTCCTTCAACCTTTACTCGTATTATTGTTAATTCAACTTTTTTTCTATTTCAGGGCACCCGAGCGACCATAGAGTTCAAAGTGGTGGATGAGGCAGACCAGTCAGTTATTTGCATCAGGGTGCCTATCACAATAACGCCGTCTGTTGCTTGAGTTGATAGAAGCATGTATCTTAATAAAGATATAAACGTCAATAGTTTATTTAATGTCTATATTTTACTTCATTTAAGTAAATTTAGTTTTTGTTTAAGAGATGATCATCAGATTTATTTAAGTCTTCACTGCTGGAGTAAAACCAAAAACACAAAGTACTACCCCTAATATAAAAAATATAAATGCGAAAGTAACTAACTCTGTCTGTCTGTCACGCTATCACCACAATTTTGTGCTTTCACGCCTAAATGACTGAACTGATTTCGATGAAATTTGGTATAGAGATACAGTTTGAGTTCTGGGAACGACATAGGATTTTATCCCAGGTTTTCGAACAGGAACGCGCGCGATAAAGGTTTTTCTGTGACAGACAAAATTACACGCGGGCGAAGCCGCTGGCAAAAGCTAGTACCTAAATGTATTAAGTATAAATGTTTTATATGTCATACAATCCAATATGAATTCTCCAATAAATTCGCCATACTTATGTGCAAACTCGCCAAAATTGTGGGCCCAGAATCCTTTAACGGATTACGAGTACTAAACCTATGAAATACTTGCTTTGAGTCGTGTAAGGCAGATCAGATGTTGTTGAGTGATAGCGGATATATTTCGCTTTGCAACAGTTTATCAATTTTCATTTTAATACAGAATTACTAAAGCCTGGTCCGTGAGCACGTAGAATTACGCGCGAGCGATAAGGATGGGTACCTAGCTTGGGGTCATTGGACAAAATTCTACGTGCTCACGGACCAGGCTTTAGAATTACTAGCGGCCGGCCGCGACTTCGTACGCGTGGATCCCGTTTTACTCTCTTAGGGGTGGAGTTTCGTAAAATCCTTTCTTAGTGAGCACATTACGTTCTTAAAGGAACCCCCATGCAAAATTTAAGACTCTTAGCACTTATTATTTCTTAGATTTCGTGATGAGTGAGTCTGTCAATCAGTGACCTTTCGCTTTTATAGATTATAGATTAACACCATAAATACTCGGTGATGTTTGTGCTGATATCCCTCCCTGCCCTGCAGCATAAAAGTAAAAATGTTACTGTATAATTAATTAGAATTTACTCCGCCATTTTCGGTGACGGACACCTCACTCATGCATTCGCTAACCGAAGTTTGCTGAGCCAGCTATGCAATAAAAAAATTGAATTTGATAAGTTAATAAAACTTTTTATTGGCGGTACGAACTTCGCTGGGTCATCTAGTCTAACCACTAAAATTGATTGACTTATCATTTGAACTGAGGAGGGCTTAGTGTGAATTTACATCAAACGTCCTCACTTGTGAGCGCATTAAAAAAATGTTTTAGTTCTTGAAAGTTTCCGCTAGGGGCGCTGTACAATCCGTCATACATTTAATATCATTTTTTACGCGCTCACTAGTGACGACGTTTGATGCAAAGTTACACAAAGCCCTCTGTCCCTTTAATAAGTTGTCACCCTAACCTCAGTCAGCTACGATAACGTTATCAGTCTTTATTACGTTCGTTCGTTCATTCACTCCTTCATTCGTTCTTGCTAGTCCGCCAATCTCAGACCGCAGAGGTATAATTTCCCACCCATGTAGCTTGTAAAAAATGGATTGCCCTCAATTTCTGGTGGTGACTCCTTTGACGATTATTCCTGATTAATTGGTAGGGCTTAGTCGACTACGATAGAAGCCAGGCTAACCCTAAATTGCTGTGAGAACGTGTTGATTGAACGAAATATATTTGTAATCTGAACATCTATTAAAATACGAAAGGTCAGATTAACTGACTCACTCAACACGAAATCTCAGAAACTACAAGTGCTAGGAGTCTCAAATTTTATATGGGAGTTCCTTTTAGAAAGTAGGTGCTCACTGAGACGGGTTTTGCAAAACGGGATCCACGCGTACGAAGTCGCGGGCGGCCGCTAGTTATAATTATTTTAAGCTTTAACCTTCGGCCAAATCAACGCGTTCATGCGCGATGGCAACGGTGATCAGACGTCGTGTATGAATTTATAGCGATGAGTTCACATCAATGCGTCCTGTAGTCGCGGCGATCTATGCACGCGCAGTGATCGCCATCGCTAACGCGATCTGCACGCGTTGGTTTGGCCGAAGCTTAAAGAATATTTTAAGACTTTGGTAGCAAAGGAAATTCGAAATTCTGTCTTTTGTTTCAGCATTCTATTCACTTATTGTCGTGTAACTTAGTTAACTTACACTTAAGGTACGTTTTCGAAGCCGACTGCAGCAGACGACATAAATATCACCGCGACACACTACTTTGTGTGTCGGGCTGGAAAACGTAGCGTGGGCAGGCCTCCTACTAGGTGGACCGACGATCTGGTAAAGGTCGCGGGAAGAGCCTGGATGCGGGCAGCGCAGGACCGTTCATTGTGGAAAACCTTGGGGGAGGCCTTTGTCCAGCAGTGGACGTCATTTGGCTGAAACGAACGAACGAACGAACATAGGAACCAGTAGTGTAAAGCCGTAGTGTAAAAATTCTACGTGCTCACGACCAGGCTTTAGAAAAGGCCTAAGCACTGCCAAGTAATAAGAAAGGTAGAGGTCACCCACTGGCTACCTGGCGGTCCATGGTGGCCAAGGACTTAGAGCTTGCCCAGACCCAGACAAACATTTCGACAGCCCAGGACAGACTGCATGGCGCCTTACAAGGAGAGCCGACTCCAAATAATGAGAAAAGGGCTACGGAAAAGAAGACATAGAAACCAGCGCCCCGATTGCGCTAAATATTGTCAACTGCAACGCGACAGGACGACGAACTAAATTCAGCTGTTTGCGCAAATTCGTATCGCGGTGTCGCTTTGACAGTTCAAACGAAGTTGTAACGTAAACGGAACGTAACTGCGTCTTTATTGTAAAAGCTGTCAGAAGGCTACTTTTTCAGTTTTAGAAGATTTGCTGTTTTAATGAAAAAATAGGGTGTTCGGACTTTTAATAGCTCTGCTAGTCTGTTGTTTCGTCTTTGTTTGCGCGTGAACTTTACCGCAATACTGAATTGCCCTTCAGCTGGAATGAAAATGGAGCGTAACTGGAGTGTAGACTAGAGATGAAACGTGAATGAATGCAGTCGCCTACGAAATCACACCTTTAGCTATTTGTCTTCGGTAAAATGTAATTAATTTGCCAGAACCCTCAGATCATAGAAAGAGAATAGATATGAAGTCACGCTTAACTACAACGAGAACCAGGGTCCCCACATTTCCCCCACCACAGCTCCCACACACACATTCAACTGTGTAAAAACAAAGCGACTGAGAGTCTACGACAACATGTGCAACCGGCTTAAAAGTGCTGTGATTGGCCAGACGGCGTGCCTTATGGCCAATCAATGGCCGCGTGACGTTACGCACACTTTGAAAACGCTAGTGAGAGAACAAAGATAAAACGGAGTCGACAAGATATAGATACTTTAAATCGCTAGGGGCAAGGCTCGAAACTGGTTTTACAAAATGCTTATGTATGAAAACCTTTTTATTATTATACGTTATTATTAATTACTATCACGCATTTAGTTTTTAATTATGGCGATCTGCGTACCGCATATGTTTATCAAAAATAATGCCTATATTAGGCTTTCAACTAGCTCTTATTAGTAATTACATAGTTGATAGTTACTAATTACTTCTACTGTTATTATTTTTTTTGTAAAATCTTATAATCGCAAGTAACACATAATTTTTTTATTTAAAATTACAAAATAGAAAATTATAATTTACTTCTATATATCGATAAATAGGAAACCGCATTAGAACACGAGCACGGCACTATGTTACGACCGGCACATGCGGCCGTACTGTGTATTTTCACACGACAGTGGATATCGGAAGAAATTAAATACATTGCGCAGTAGTTGAGCATGACATAAAGTGGTTGCTAACTAAATCGTCAATGTACAAGTGTGTTAGAATTTTTATCACCACTGATTTCGATATCGCAGTAACTGTTACGGCACTGAATTCGTTCGTAAAAATGTTTAGTTTTTTTTATTTATAAGCAAAATACCAATGGATTTGCAATACTTACATGTAGTAAATGACTCCATTGTTCCTGTAGTTCTTCGTTTCACTTGTTTTATTGCACGTAACGACGCATTATCCAAAATATAGGAGAACATTTCCTTAGTACGACTGAATCGCGACTAACCTAGCTACGCTGCCGATGTTCGTTTCTGGGCATATCGCGGAGACACGCGCCACGCCCCCGTTTCACATCTATTCCCTTCTATGATCTGTGTGCCTACCATGAGTTTACGTTAGGTGAGCTCGCTAGCGAATACGTCAAAAAATTCTATGAAGATTTTATTTCTTGAAAGTAGCCGCTAGGGGCGCTGCACAATATGTCATACATTTAAATGTCATTTTTTTACGTAGTCGCTAGCGAGCACACCTAACGTAAACTCATGGTAGGCACACTGAGCCAGAACCACAATACGAGCGTAGACAATACGAAAGACTGTCCTTTTGTACTCCACTACATTATTTGATTGGTTTCTATCGAAATCGATAATTCAATTAAATTATTTCAGTATTCGAAGATCCGTTCGCAATTGTGATACAAAAATAATCAAATAAGTAATTTAAATAAATAAATTATTCAAGTACTTATAATAATACAGGGTGTTAGGTAAATGGGTATATGAGCCGACACTAGCCCATGTTAACATGGTCATATAAATGGTATGGTGAAGTCAGAAAATTGATATCTTCATTTTAATTTTCATACAAATCAGATTTTATAAAATTTATTTTGTATGAAAATTAAAAAAATTAAAATGATGATTATCAAATTTCTGACTTCACCATACCATTTATATGACCATGTTAACATGGGCTAGTGTCGGCTCATATACCCATTTACCTAACAACCTGTATAAGAACTTGAAAGTGACCCATAGATTTTAAATAACTTGACAAAAATCGAATTTCCTAGAATCGAAACTAGCTTTTTAAATTTGTCTGTCACGGAAAAACTTTATCGCGTCCGTCCCTGTTTCAAAAACCGGGATAAAACTATCCTATGTCGTAGCTCGTTGAGA